GTACGTGATTAACTATGTTACGGTTCTAAAACGTCCCGGTCGAAGGATATTTATACATTATCTAGCTGGAAACAAACAACCACGGTCGCGTGTCAATCTGTTTGCCAATCCATAGGAAGTGTACAATACACATTGTGTAATATTATGTTATACAAGGGTAATAAAATTTAATCTTTAACACCATGCTGTTTAAATTTAAATTACGGATGAAAAAGTCATCTAATGATACCTTAAACAGACGTCTTTTGTATGCGCCTTTGACCATTGGATTATTAGTCCTGCATATTTATTATATCTGTTATAAATATCAATTGACGTTTTAAGTACTAACCGCTTTAAGTCATCCCAAAATTACTATTTTGTGGTTGATATAAAATGGAAACACGACTATTAAAGCCTTAAAGTATCATACACTGTTGTCTATTTTATTGCGCTTTTGCCATACGCAGAATGCGCATGCGCGAAATGCAACAATGGTTGCTTTGGAAGAATCGTATTGTAAAAAGGTCGATAATTGTTTGAATTATGGGTATACCGCTCATTTAGGCAAATATGTTTTGGCCCGAACATCATCCGTTAACTATTTTTTGTTCAAACTTCGGTTTTATATCGGTTTTTGAGAAACCGTTTTGTGTTTATATAAAAGTAGAAACAATAGATGTGACAAATGTAAGATCTACAACACTTGAAAAATTCAACATGAGCCCAAAACTCGCATTTGATGGGCACACGGTACTTTAGTAACATAAATGTAAAACCGAAATTTGAACAAAGAATAGTTAACGGATGGTTTTCGGGTCAAAATATGCAAAACTACAATAAAATATGTATGCAAAATAAAAAAAAATATGTGTGCAAAACGAAAATAAAATGTGTATTCAAAACTAAACAAAATATGTATGCAAAACTAAAATAAAAAATGTATATAAAACTAAAAAAATTGTACGAAAAACAAAATAAAAAATAAGTATCAAAAGCAAAAAATTGCAAATGTCACTTTTATGCCATCGTAGTTGACGTCACATCTGAAGAAATTTTCATATAAATCAGGGCACTTGTACTTGTTATTTTCTTGGGAATACCATTGACGGGGTATTCCGTTCACTAACAAGAGAAAACAATTTTATTGGTTAACCATGGGCGTAAGGTCCTAAAACAAACTAAAAATAAATTTGTTATTTCCTAAATATCTCCAGCTCCGTATTTCAAAGTGTTTTAAAGTGTTTAGTGTTTATCAATATAAATCTAACAGTTCTCTTAAGTGTTAAGTTCATTATAAGTTCATTATATTTACCTCATCCGTTGGTGAAAGTTAGAAATGTTTTAACTAGCGTGTATTTTTATAATTAATATATATCTCGTGTATATTTCAAGTGGTAATGTAAACATAAGGTCGATGACCGTTGTATTTGCTAATTTTTAACAACACAAACTTGTAAAAGTTACCAAATGATAAAGCTTATGGGGTGGTCTGACTAAAGTAAAATGTTACTATTTTCTTTTCGGTATGAAACTACTAAATTGGTGAATGCGATATTCAGGTGCACGTGTTCTTCTGTGTTAACAAATTAAAATGAGAACTTCTAAGTCTCATATAATATAATTCATAGATTTCTAACGAACAATCGGGTATTTGTGTTCGGTAAGATTACGTTTTATAACTAATAGATGAAAACGAGGTGTGTTCAAACATAATTGCAACTGGGTCAATATCAGAAGTGCTCAACAAACAGTGCCAAAATAATGATCTCAAAATACTCACAAAATGTGATATACACAGTTTTTATTTTTTAATCCAATTCTTAAATGTGTTTCATAATCTTTTTGAGGTATTCTTTCAGACACTGAAACATAGCCAAACCGAGATTTTTCGCGTTTGATATTTTCTTCCAGCAAGATGTTTTTAAAACAACGTTTTTTTGAGCCTCGGAAATAGGAAAAAGTCACAAAGGGGAAAATCTGGTAAAAAAGGAGGATGAGGAAGCTCATAAACTTTTTCCTGTTTCCTTGCCAAGCAGGCAGTTACCATTCATTTACCAACAAACCGAGTCCACCCGAATGTTCGTGTAGTTTGCTTATTCTTTGTTTCTCATATTGACTACCGCTATCTTATCAGGGATAACGCCAACTATCTTAAAATATATCAATTGTCTAGCAAAGGCGTTAGAGAAACAACATTTCATGTTTTTTGCTCTAACTATTATTCTTAATATTATTATAATATGAGCCGCGCCATGACAAAACCAACATAGTGCGTTTGCGACCAGCATGGATCCAGACCAGCCTGCGCATCCGCGCAGTCTGATCAGGATCCATGCTGTTCGCTAACAAACCCTAAAACAAGTAGAGAAACTGATAGCGAACAGCATGGATCCTGATCAGACTGCGCGGATGCGAAGGCTTGTCTGGATCCATGCTGGTCGCAAACCCACTATGTTGGTTTTATCGTGACACGACTCATATACTTATTGTCGTCATTATTACACATGTATTAACGAAAGTTATGATAATGGTAATGATGCTATATCATTGATTGTGATACTTAATAGTTATCATGGTGGTGAAGACAATGATGAGTGCGTTTGTAATGATGATGATGATGTAAGTGATGGTTGTGATTATAATGGTAATTGTGTTGGAATGAAAGATGATACTGGTGTTGGTTGTTATGATAACAATGATGATGATTCTGATTTTGTTTGCAAAGATAATAATAATAATGATAACAATAATAATAATAATAGTAATAATACTAATAACAATAATTATAAAAAATAATTATGATAATAATAATAATAATAATGATAAAAATAATAATAATAATAATAATAATGATGATAATAATAATGATGGTGATGATGATGATGATGATGATGATGATGATGATGATGATGATGATGAAGATGATGCAGCATATGAAATTGGAATTGTAAATCGCTTCTTTACTTACTTTATATATTCACAGCGTGAAATGTTTCGATGCATTTAAGATAAGAAAGGATCACCCCCGAGTTAAAGTTAATCCTGGTAAAGGCCAACCTGGTTCTGGAAAAATTAATCTGGTTTTAAACGGATACGTCTTTGAAGGATACACATGGACAGCAAATCACTGCGGACCTAACTATTGCTGCTGCAGGGCTATTAAATAAAAACAACAGACAGATATCTTTATATATTGTCAGTTGTACAGTATTTTTTGCTTTCGTATTTCATTTTTCTTTTTATATGCCCGAAAGAATTTCGGGCATATTATGTTATACCCCTTGGCGTCCGTCTGTCTGTCTGTCTATCCGTCCGTCCGTCTGTTAACAATTTGGTTTCCGGAGCATAACTTAGGTTCCATTTGGCCCACAACATTCAAACTTGATAGGATGATTGCCCATATTGGGTAGAGACCCCTATTGATTTTGGGGTCACAAGGTCAAAGGTCAAGGTCACTTTCACCTTAAAACTGAAAATAGTTTCCGCAGCATAACTTAAGTTCCATTTGGCCCACACAAAGTTCAAACTTTATAGGATGATTGTCCATATTGGGTAGAAGACCCCTATTGATTTTTGGGTCACAAGGTCAAACGTCAAGGTCACTATTACTTTAAAACTGAAAACAGTTTCCGGAGCATAACTTAAATTCCACTTGACCCACAATATTTAAACTTCATAGGATGATTGTCCATATTGGGTAGGAGACCCCTATTGATTTTGTGGTCACACGGTCAAAGGTCAAGGTCACTATTACTTTAAAACTGAAAACAGTTTCCGGAGCATAACTTAAGGTCTATTTGGCCCACAATATTATATTCAAACTTCATAGGTCGATTGTCCATATTAGGTAGAATACCCCTATTGATTTTGGGGTCACAAGGTCAAAGGTCAAGGTCATTATTACTTTAAAACTGAAAACAGTTTCCGGAGCATAACTTAATTTCTATTTGGCTCACAATATTCAAACTTCATAGGAGGATTGCTATTGGAAGGAGGTTATACTTTATTTACTTTATGTAATGTCTTACAAATGTTTCATCCTTAATATAAATAAAACACTTTCGGGCATATAATGCTCCGCCTAGCGGTGCTATTGTTTTTATATTTACTAAGAATTTAGATTGTATACAATGTATTTTGTATAAATCAAATCGGCGTGTATTAAAGTGGTTTCAAGATTGCTAAACTGTTCCTGTCATCAATATGTCTTAAATTTTCCAGCTGTCCGAGAAAATATAACTTTTTTTCTAACAAGAAACGTACTTCGGCTCGAGGATGTGAGGCTATTGTATTTCAGCTTCATCCCATCATTTATAATGTATTGAAATATTGACATAATTTCGATATTAAAGCAGCACGCCTTCAGATTCATGTTAATTTTCATGAAAATGTATCACAAAGTAAAATATCGTAAAGTGAACAAAGAAAATATTTTTACATTGCAAAAGGCACTCACAACCCAAGTAAATTACCAAAATGAGATCAAAATATGCAAAACATGCTGTACTGCGTGTAGCAACATAAAATAGGGCGTATCGAATGTTGGGAAATGATTTTGTTATCAAGACAACATTTATCACTCATCGTGCTATTAACGTTCACTTTGTAAATAAATAAATTCTTCAACGGTTAAAAAAGACATTACGAGAAAAACAGATGGACGTGACTTTAGTGCCATTTTGTATCAACAGATGTCTTAAATTCGAATCTTATACATTGAAAAGAGTAAATACAATTTCAAAGGTTCAGTATACATGTTTACTGTTACATGTACACTCAAGTAACTTAACATAGTCTATGAGCGAAAACGGTAAAACTTTAAGTAAAACTAAAATTGATATGATTTTGATGAAACATTTGATACCACTTTATTAAGAGCGGAAAATACTAAGTGTTAGTGATTTTATCTAAAAGAAGAAATGAATGTCTTGTATTGATAAGAAGAAACGGAACAATAGAGTTCATTACCATCAACAAAGTATTAATAACCCATAAATCCTGGTTTGCTTTCAAGATGTTTTTTCCGCTTTTTTGGCCCCATTGTTATAAAAACGATGCTAATAGCTAGAAGACATCAATCAACTTGCTTTCGTTGAGGTAAGTTTATTTTAGTTTATTAAATGAAGTGCCGTCAAATTTATAACTGTTATAACGATAATAATAGTTATAAAGTTTTTTCACAGGCTTTATGGCCCTATATTTACGATTGTTTGCATATATAACCCGAGCTGTTAGGCAAAGATAATATTGCAAACAACCGTTTATGTACGTTCATATAACCTATTAAAATCTTTATTATAATGAATTTATAATACAGAACAGAACATATCGTTTATTAGATTTTAGATTTAAACATAGTTTATCATCTTTACATGCATTACATTGAATATAAAGATCATATCATATAAATAATAAAATTAATATGAATATAAATATTATTTACGTAAATGAAGGTATGTGTATACAAACAAATTAATTAACACCTTAAACAGTCGGCGTTTATGATAAGTCATTTTGTCGTAACATATTTTCTTGAATTTTAAGAGCACATTTGATGAACTTCACCAAATTTGTCGTTGTCTTTTGATTCACAGATCTTAGCAGTTCAATTAGCTTAAACATACTTGGTCAAAGTGTAAAATATTCATTTATATATCGTTTTCTAATGACTTATAAAAATAAAATTGTTTCACATGTTGACAGCAGCGTGTATATAAAACTATACTAAGGACGACTTTTCCTTTACCTATTGTGTAATTATGCCTCGAAAATGATTAACGGCGTTTTGTTTTGATCATTTTTATCATGCCCCATTAACCGGTTTAAACATCTCGGTAGTGCTTTTGCTCTGCTGACCGTTCCAGCGCGGTGCCCCTTAATATTCCTTAGGATATCATTTCTTATGTTTTGTAAATTGGGGTAACACTCAAGTTATACCTTGTGAGTTACACCTTACACCTTATTTTCCATTTAACTCCCTCCTTGGACATCTGGTCCATTTCGCCTACACGTTTGTCCCTGTAAGGCTTTTTGACCAAAAACATTCTTAAATATTAACATTTCCTTAAATTTCATTTAGTTATCATTTTTAGTGAAAGGAGAACTTCAAGATATATACATGTACTAAGTAACTTACCCCTATATGAACAACTATAAATAATTTTTTGCGAAATTCTCTTCGTTCCTTGCTAATTTCCATAGACTCCTAAACTGGCTGTTTGTTTAGCGTTTTAGAGCCTATTTCTTTATTATTTAAGAACCAGTTACGAAGGACACAAGTGTTGCTTCAGTTAATCAACGACCAAACAAGTCAACCCCGTTTGTGATAAAGAAAAAAACATACTTAGCACACGACTATGAATAGTGTTTACCTGGCGCTGGTTCTTTTACGTAAATATGATTTTGCTATTTTATAATCTATATTTATTATTATATTGATAATTTGAAGTCTTTCCTAGTCTCTAAAAATATTGATAAACATTTTGAAACAAAAATATAGTTTCAGCAATTCTAAAAAGAAGCAACAATATTAATAGATAAAAAAATAAATGAATAAATAAGTACATAATAAAAGTAAAAAAATAAATAATACAACTCTGAGAACGATGAAAAAAATCTAGTTTCACTTATTCTACGCATTAATCAAATATCCATGCTCAGGAAAAGGTTTACTTTTTATTTCACTTTTGCAGTGAGCATAAGCCATGTTTGCTCAGTAGAACGCTACAGTTTGAGTTATAGTTACTTTGATGAGATGGCCCAGACTTATTGTGCTTCGAAGAGTCCTGGTTGGGTGTTTGCAATTAGAAGAAATTGTCATCATGCGCCGACATGCGAGGCTATGTGTGCAGCTGCTAAAAGCTCTATTCTAGGAACGATCGCTCACCAGAGAAAGAAGTAAGAAAAACATTTTGATTATTATTTTCAATTGTATCAGTGTATTTTTTGCTGTTGGTCTAATTGTGGCCATAGTTATTTTATATTAAAGAAACATAACGATGATTCGGGCTATAAAACCGATGCTTAATATGATTATTATAATAATGATGATGAAGATAATAATAATAATAATAATAATAATAATGATAATAATAATAATAATGACAATGAATAATAAAGACGATGATTAAGATTACATTGAAACAGTAGATGCTGCTTATTATGATAATTGTGACATGGTAATAATGACATAGCAGATTTTTAAACTTTACTTTTTGTAACAACTTCTTTTTTACATAATATATTCACAGCGTGTCATGTTACGATGCATTCCATATCCCAAAGAATCATGCCCTTCTAAAAGCAAACCCTGGAAGTGACCAACCTGATTCTGGAAAAGTTAATATAGGTACATACGGATACGGCAAAGGCGGATGTACATGGAGAGCAAATCACTGCGGACCTAACTACTGTTGCTGTAAAGCGTTTTAGTCAACGAATGTACGACTATATAAACACAGTAAAAATTCAACATGTATCTTTTCAATGTATTCAATAAAACTGATACTGTCATATTTTTTCTCTCTGTTGTTTATTTGATATAATAAGAAATTGTATATTTTTAGAAATTTACGGCAATGTATCATTACACTAGAGCTACATGTATATACATGCTTACATTCCTTCTAGGATATATAAAGAACATGAATTTAAATCAAGTCTTAATAACATGACCTTTAGGCTCAATGACACTGTACTAGATTATTTGAATGCACCGCTCTAACATTTGAACAAAATCAAACGTCCAACCTTTCGAGAGATTGATTTGAATAGCCAAGAATAACGTTTGAAAAATGATAACACTATGGCGACTGATTTGTGCCATTCGCATTTTCGCCCCACGACCCCGCCAAGCGAAAAGTCGAAAATTAACAAGTTAAAATGGCGGGGGCGCGGAGCGAAACACGATAATTAGCGAGGACGCGGGCGAAGTTAAAAAAAAATAAAACTTTGTCCCGTGGGGGCGAGGAGAGAAAACACGAATGACACAAATAAGCCACAATATAACACAGCTATAAATTAACAAATAATCTAAATACCATGTCGACTACAAAGTAATCTTGTCATATTGGATATTTTGACGTCACATGACGTATAAAGCTTCCAGAATATAATAGGCAATATAAACATTAAAAATGGTCTCAAGCATTGTTTTAACAACAATATGATGATCAGAAAGGTAGCCAGCATGTTATAATTGTTACAGGGTTGGTAACCGACCACGTATGGAATTAACGGGGTATTTATAGTTCTGTTGAAAGTCATATCGGGACTCAATTTTTTATCTCGCCCAAATATTTTGTCCTACAGACCCGCACATCCCATATCGGTTTAGTAACTTACTCTCCGACAATTGGCATTAAAGAACAGGTAAATATCTCAGGTCATTTTATATATATATTTATTTATTTATTTTTGCATGTACGGAAATACGGCTATATTCACAAGGTGTTCCGTGAATGTTTATATTCATTTTCCGCTCTAAAATTCGTTTAACAAAGTATGTAACGCAGGACTGTCAAAATAACGCAGGGAGTGTGTTAAGGTACCGCCGAATTTGGGGAATACATAGTCAAACGAGTACCACTGTTATTAAACGGACCAGTATGTTATGTTATAAATCAAATTTAAAGAAACAAATCAACGCATAAAACTGCTTAGATACTTTTCTTTCAATCGACCATTTCTAAAACAGTACGTCATTGTTACCCGACGAATCAGGACAGTTGCCTCCAATTTCCAGGGTACAAGAATATAAATAATTCTAAGCTTAAGCTCAGAATCAAGCATTTGATTGGTCAAAAGCTCCCACAGAATGTACACTGACCAATGAAATACCCAAGATTTGAGACAGCACTAAATGTTTAATAACCTTGAAGGCAAGGTTTTCATTTTCACGAATGCACTTGAAAATAAACCACTCCCCCTTTCAATATTAACAAGTTGACTCTTGATAAGTCAAAATCGCTTTACTAAAAATTCCGGGTTAGTCGAAGAATTTCTAAAGTCCCGTCAGATCTCCTTCTTAATATTTGTATTTTAACTCCGCCTAGGTCAAATTTTGACTTACCGAGACTCCTGTTTTGGCGAAAAGAAAATTTGGTCCCGTCAATTAAAGTCCAACATATTTCATCACAATTAGTCGAAGTGTGAAAACAGCCGACTGATCAAAGGTCGGCGACATCAAGGTGAGAAGATGTCACTCGTCATTCACACGTTTCATAGTCATTTTAATCGCCGGTCATCATGTATTTTTAACACGTCGTAAAAATGGCTTTAATCGGTTTCAGGACTTAATTGGTTTTAACAGTTAGATTACTTACCAAGTCCATCTATCGAGTCTGCTATTGTTACAGTGTGGTGCTTCCTCTAGATTAGTCAAGATGTTACAAAAGATATACGAATAAGTAAAATGTTGTGTACGTGTTAATGGTCATTATACTGAAAATTTTGATAGTGTAAAGGGAGTTAAGCAAGACGAATCTTTATCGCCCTTGTTATTCTTATTTTTTATTAATGATATGCAACATTGTATATATGATAATACCATAGATTCTTTTTGTATTGATGAAATTAGAATGTATTAAGAGGATATTTTTTCGTTTGAGTGAAATATGGAATATATTTTCACGAAACATGATAAAATGCCACATATTTTCACGAGCCGGGACGGCGAGTGAAAATATGTGGCATTTTATCAAGTTGAGTGAAAATATATACCATAATTCACGAAAAACGAAAAAATAACCTTTTTATTTAATTTCCTTATCAAAGAAAATGGTTACGAACCCCATTGCTTGCTACGCAACTGCAACTGTACAGCGCGCAGTAATATATTATTGCGTTTTGTTTTACACGCGATATTTGGCGCTACATTGTGACGTCACGTAAACAACTCTTTAAACGTCTGTAAAGCGTTTATAACTGAATTAAAGATATTAGTGTTCGGATTTATTTTCTTAGTTGGACCATTTTCTATCATTCTAGATAGTTTTCAAAACAAAATTCAACAAAAAGTTGTTTTGTATTTCTCAGATTTTCAAACAAAATGGCGAAAGAAGTCCCTTAAAATAAATATGAGTTTCGACTCCGCCCACTTTCATATTTATATTTCATATTTATTTTTAAGAAATATGAAATATATATGACGGATATAGCACCATATTTCATGGGTAAAATTAAATAATTATTGGTATTTGCAGATGACACTGTTTTAATGTCGTATTCTAGAGATGGTCTTCAGAATATTTTAAATAACTTACATGCATATTGTACAGATTGATAAGTGTTAATATAGATAAAACAGTTGTTATGGTTTTTAAAAAGGGCAACAGACCAGACAATATAGATTTATACTATGATAATTGTAAACTTAATATTGTCACAAAATTTACATATCTTGGAGTTACATTATCTTCCAATGGTTGTTTTTACAGGCTCAAAAATCTTTAACGCAACAGGCAATGAAAGCCATGTTTTCTCTTGCTTCATTATTTGATATTGTATCGTTGACTGTATCGGAAAAAATTAAGTTGTTTGATTCCATGATTGCTTCTATTATGAACTATGGGTGTGAAATATGGGGGTTTCATAAGGCCCCGGATATAGAACGGCTGCATATGAAATTCATGAAACAAATATTGCAAGTAAGACAACAAACACCCAATGCTACAATATACGGGGAATTAGGTAGATTCCCTAGGATTATTATACGTAAGATAAGAATTATCAGATACTGGTATAAAATTACGAAAAATCCAGATTCAATTATGTACAAATTATTTAATATGCGTGATAGACATGGCAATCATGTATGTATGTGGTCGAAAAATGTTAAAAAAATATTAGATGATACTGGATTTACATATCTATGGAATAATGTTTCTTTGTCTAATGTGCAAATTCAAAATGTAATACAACGCATATATGACCAATATTTACAACAATGGTTTTCTAATCTTAGAACTCAACCTAAACTTGAAACGTATTGTTTACTGAAAACAGATTTTGAACCAGAAATATATATTTCTTGTGTTAAGAAAGAAAATCATAGAATTAGTTTGACCAGATTTAGATGCTCTGCACATAACTTACTTATAGAAGAAGGAAGACATAGAAATATAGAAAGAAACCATAGAATTTGTACCAAATGTAATAAGAATGTCATTGAAAATGAATATCACTTCCTCTTAGTTTGCCCGTTTTATAGAGAATTACGTATCAAATGTTTGCCAAATTATTATTGTCATTGGCCTAATTTATTCAATTTTAAAAATCTTCTTAACAGTTCTCAAAGCAGTACTATTATTAACCTAGCTAAATATATATACCAATCATTTTCTTTAAGAGGATGATTATAATTAATTTATGTATTGTGTAACCTGTGTTATAATGTCATAAATAAGTTATAATTATGTTTTTATGTTCAAAGTATATAATTGTTATTATCATGCTTTTCTCATGTTCAAAATATGTATTGTTTTGTATTGTGCCGCCAGAATACTATATGTATTGGCGATAAACATTGTATATGTGTTAAAGCCAAATAAACATTGAATTGAATTGAATTGCTATAAATGCTTGACTGTGAAATTTTGTGTCAGTTTTAAGAAAATTGTAAAAATACAGAGAATCTTATTGCCGCTGTTGATGGGGTGAATAATTTTGTCACATTTCTTTAAGAAAGTTGACTCGTGCCAGTCTGACAAGTGTTAGCCAAATAATAGCCTAGGTATTGATGTGTTTTATCAACGTAAATGACATTTTGTATAATTAATGTTCCGTCATATTGCATACATTAATAATATATGAATAATATATATTTGTTCATTTATAATTTGTAGTTGTAATTTCAACGGTTAAATATTGCAGCATTGCCGCTATCAACAATTACAAACCTACTTCTTTGCACATTCAATCAGGCAACGAATGTCAACGTAATGGCGGCAGATCCACGTTACTCGAATTCCGTTTCTCTCGAAGTAAAATGCCTAGTCCCTTGGATATGAGTAACCGAGAGTCGATTGTATAATGGTTATATTACCACATGTAGATTAATATATTTTATTATCATCGCGCACCTGCAAAATGCTCCTAATTGGACTTTTGTTTGTAAACATCCCCTCGACTCGAAGGAAAAATATGTTTTTTATTCTAAGAAACCGTTAGAATATCAAATAAATAATGTAGCGCACCAAAGATTGGCTTTAGTACTTGATTAATTTTATAAAAGGTTTAAAAACAGGTATACTGCCTAGTTTAGTCCTGAGAACAGGATTAATTTTTTTTCCTAAATGCTCCCACTCGGACTCCCAAACAAACTTTATTTCGTTATCGACAGTAAAACTTTTAAAAGTTTTCACAACTATATCAAGCAAGTACTAAAGCTAATATTTAGAGTGCTGCATTATTTTTGTTATATGGAGTGCATCGTAACGATTTCTTAGAAGTATTCATATTTTATCTTTGACTCGATGGGATAACAGTCTGATTGGGGGCGCGACGTCGTAGTATC